GGAAGGCTGCAGCTGGCTGCTCAAGAGACCGTACCTTCTCAGTCACCTCCAGCATGGCCTCCAGCAGGAGGTGGTCCTCGTTGGCTGGACTCAGCAGGTTTGACCCAATGTAGATGGCCAGGTTGCTGGAGGCCATTCTGCTGGTGGACGTGTTGTGGCCGATATGCTGGTGCAGGGACAGCAGCTGCTTGAGGAGAAGGAGGTTGGCTGCGGGCAACTTCCCAGCCACCCTGAGGGAACAGGAACACAAGGTGAAGAAAGCAGTTGTTGCCCACTGCTGTCCCCCAGGCTTGCCCAAGGCAGGTGGGAGGCAGCGGCTGTGTTGTGCAACTTCCCAGGGGCTCTGGGCCAGCGGTCAGGGCTCCTGCTCAACAGGCAGGCTGCTGCCCACGCTTAGGCTTTCAGCTCTTCCATTTTCTCTTCCTTGCTGCTCTTCTGCATCGCTGCCATCCAGTCCTTGTAGAGGTCTGTCATGAGGAGCTTGGCAGGGAAGCTTTGGAGGAACTCCTGCAATGCCAAGGGCTCCAGGTGAGCCTTCGAATGCTCCAGGCCAGGCAGGAGCTCTTCCACCTGCAACTCGGAAGCACTCACCTTCAAGATGCTGCCCAGCAGCAGTGCAAGCTGGCTTCCCAGGTCAACCTCCATGCTGTGGTCCAGTTCTGAAACCCTGTGTCCAGCCCAGCTGCACACAAGGTTTTTCTCTTCTCACGTTTGGTGTTGCAACCAGCAAATCACTGGTTGCACACTCGCTGAGAAAGCAAAACTTGAACAACCGATCAGCACAGCATTACTCAATCAATGGAAAGTCAGTGGACCCAAATGACATTTGCTCGTCAACTTTTTTACACTCCCCTACCAGGGGGGTTCGACAAAAGGGGGTTCGAGAGGTACGTCCGGCAGATCCGGGGTCAGGGGAAGCATCAGCTGGAGTTGACTCTGATTCTGACAGGGAGATTAGCTCTGACGAGCAAGGAGGTGAATTCGGCCCGATTGTGGGAAGGACCCGAAGAGATTAAGGGGCAGAGTAATACAGGCCCCTTTAAGGCAGGCTGTCGGGCCCATGGGGCCAGTAACAGTAAAGGTACCATTCTCTGTAATGGATTTAAAAGTTTGGAAAGAACTTGCTGGGACTTATAGGGAGGATCCCGGAAAAGCTACCAAGGTATTAGAAACTCTCATAAGGACTCAGGATCCAGATGGGAATGATTGACAAGTAATCTTGGACACTTTGCTTACTATTGATGAAAAGACCCTGGTAACAGCTAAGGCAAGGGAGGAGGTGGAACGGCTTCATGTGCAACAGGGACAGATAGGCCACATAGATGATTATTTTCCACCTGCAGATCCTAGGTGGGACCCTAATATCTGTGTTCAGGGAGATTTATTAACAAGGTATCAAAGACTGTTAATTTACAGAATGAGACATGCTATCCCTACAGCTCAAAATATGTCTAAACTGTATCAGGTGATTCAGGATAAAAATAAGACCCCCTGGGAATTTTATGAGAGATTATGTTCGAAAATATACTAAATTGGATCCTGAAAGAGAGAGGGATGTGGCACAAATCGCTTACACATTCACAGCTCATTTTGCTCCAGATATACGACGAAAATTACAAAAATTAGATGGAGATGATTCAAGGAGATTGTCTAAACTTTTAGAAGTAGCGTGGAAAGTTGTCATGGGTTAGGCCGCTCCAGCAACCGAACCCACACAGCCGGTCACTCACCCTCCCCCACCCCCAGGAATGAGGGAGAGAATTAAAGGAGAAATGGGAAACGCGTGGGTTGAGATAAGAACAATTTAATACAGATGATTTAATACACAGTGTAGATGCTCACCACCCCCTCTTATCCTTAGCCCGAAGCTGCAATCCCGGACGAACGCGAGGCCCCGAAATAGAGAGGGGCAGAGAGAGAGAGAGAGAGTGCTCTGAGAGTGGGAGTGCTGGGAGAGAGGGGGAAAAAAAGGCAATAGAGCAAAAGCGCAGCAAGCGCAAAAGAGCAAAAGCGGCGAAAGATCCAAAGTGCCAAAGCCCTTCTGTCCGGCTGTCCCTCACCTTTATACTGGGCATGACGCTGCATGATAAGGAATACTAATTGGCCAGTTTGGCCTCAATCTTAAGTTCCATCACAAATCACAAGGGGAATCGTGTCCCCCTTGTCCCAGCTATGCTCCCCCCTTATCC